GAGCTTCGAGGAGCTTCCGCAGCTCGGCGAGACAACGTGGCTGAGCCTGTCCCTCCACCACCGAGGACCTCTGCTGCATCATGTACACCTCCGGCTCCACCGGCACCCCCAAGGGTGTTCCCCCTGCTCCACCGCCAGGTCTGCGCTGCTAGTAAGTACGCCTCCGTGCTCTCAAGTCGACATGCTGGCTAACACGATGGTTTCTAGTTGCTGGCGTTTCTGTTGTCGTAGGCCCTCACATTGGGCCTGGTGATGGTCTCCTGACCTACCTCCCTCTGGCGCATATTCTGGAGTATGTGTTCGAGAACGGCGCCCTCTTCTGGGGTGCTGTCCTGGGTTACGGCAACCCCAAGACCCTGTCCGACAATTCTGTTCGCAACTGCTCCGGTGACATCCGCGAGTTCAAGCCCTCTGTCATGGTCGGCGTTCCCGCTGTCTGGGAGACGGTCAAGAAGGGCATCATCAACAAGGTCAACGCTGGAAGCCCGGTCGTCAAGTCTCTCTTCTGGAACTCTCTGTCCCTGAAGGCGAGCCTCCTGGCATCCGGTCTTCCCGGCACCGGTGTTCTCGATTCGGTGGTCTTCAAGAAGCTCAAGGAGGCCACCGGCGGACGCCTGAAGCTTTGCATGTCTGGTGGTGGCCCGATCGCCAAGGAGACCCAGCACTTCATCTCCATGGCCATTGCGCCCATGATTATCGGATATGGTCTCACCGAGACCACGGCCATGGGCTGCCTGATGAACCCTCTCGAATGGAACACCAACAACATGGGTGCCATGCCTGCGAGCATTGAGATCAAGCTCGTCGACTTTGCCGATGCGGGTTACTTCGCCACCAACAAGCCCAACCCCCAGGGCGAGGTCTGGATCCGCGGCCCCTCGGTGCTCAAGGAGTACTATGACAACCCCAAGGAGACGGCTGAGGCCATCACTCCGGACGGCTGGTTCAAGACGGGCGACATCGGCGAGTTTGACAGCCAGGGCCACCTGAAGCTCATCGACCGCAAGAAGAACCTGGTCAAGACGCTCAACGGCGAGTATATTGCTCTCGAGAAGCTGGAGTCCATCTACCGCGCCTCCTCGGTCGTCCAGAACATTTGCGTCTACGCCGAGCCCACCAAGGCCAAGCCCATTGCCATCATCGTGCCCGCCGAGCCCGCCCTGATCCAGCTGGCCCAGTCCATTGGTGTCCAGGGCAACTCGCTCGAGGAGCTCGTCGGCGACAAGAAGCTCAACGCGGCCGTCCTGCGCGAGTGGCAGAACGCCGGCCGCACAGGCGGTCTGTCCGGTATCGAAATTGTCGAGGGTGTCGTCCTGTCCGATGAGGAGTGGACACCTCCAGAACGTAATCTACAACCCTCCGCCTCCTCAATCTCCCCCGAGCACGTTTATTTTCCATGATATGAATTGGCAAAATGCTAACACTATGATTCAGGGTTACACCACGGCCGCCCAGAAGCTCCAGCGCAAGAAGATCCTCGACAAGTTCAAGTCCCAGGTCGCCCAGGCTTACGGCTCGACGAGCTAGACGAACTCTGCGAACGAGTTCCAATCCCTGGATGCTCGGAAGCAAAAGAGAGACAGCCGAGTCTGGAGATGGAACAAGAGGAGAGCGGATGTGTGTGTGAGAGGAAAACATGCTTTGGAGAGAGGGAGGGCTGAATGAGGGAGCGACTTGTTCTTCAGTTTTGATATCCCAGGAGTATGGTCTGTCTGGCTTTTATTGTACGCGATCTTGGGGCTTGATTCGTCGAGTTTTGTATGTGTGCACGATATGTTCGCCCTTTGTCTGCAGTAGTGTATGTAGTCGTATCCCAGTTTCTGCAACCATATTCTTGTCTGCGCCGTGTTCTTTCTCTTTTGTTTCCCTTCCTGTCGGCAATGTTACATTCAGAGCTACGGCGCGATCGGCACCACCCGGATGTGCCGGCGTTGGGAGCTGAGCCTTCCGCGCCCTGATACACCAACAAGCCGCTGGTCCTACTTTCCTGACACCAAGACTTTGCAGCTTCCGGTCGACTGCGGACCAAAAAGGCGCTCA